GCCTGGATTGATACTGGGGGTTGCCCTGACCCAGGTGCAGGACCTTGCACTTGGCCTTGTTCAACCTCATGAGGTTTACACGGGCCTACTTCTCAAGCTTGTCCAGGTCCCTCTGGATGGCATCCTGTCCATCTGCTGTGTCGACTGCACCACTCAGCTTGGTGTCATCTGCAAACTTGCTGAGGGTGCACTCGATCCCACTGTCTATGTCATTGATGTCAGAGTGGTGTGTGTTGGTTCAGCACAATGCAGCTGATGAGTGGTAAGGGGCTTTATTGTCCCACAATCAGTCAAAAAAAAAAAAAAAAAGAAAAGACGGAGCTCTCAGTTTTTGTTAGGATTTCCAACTGTTCAGCAGTCAAAACAAAGAGCTTGGTACTTGCTTTTTTACCTGTATGACTGGGATCTTCTGGTTCAGCATTCTTAGTGTAATGCCAGTGGCTGAAGAGCAACATAAGCACAGCTGTGTGTGCAGCAAGCAGATCATAGACTCTGCATGTGAATGTGAGAGCCAGGTTGATTCTACTATTAGCTCATTGACTTTAAATCATTTTAGAGGCCACTACATTTTGAAATTATTCATTTAAATTGTGATAGATTGCATCAGTTTATATCCAGGGAAGCGATAAAGAAGAAGCCTATGTTCACCTCTCAGTAATGCAGCCTCTCCCAATATTGTGCCTCAATGATAATAGGAATACTATCCCTTACAGCTTTTTTGATACTTAAAGACCATTAGAGCTTGACAGCATGCTATGCACTGGTAAACATTATTGTTTGACTGATGAGCCCACTTTTTTGAGAGAGTGACTCTAGTACTATGAAATCAGGTAATAGAGAGTTCAGGCACTACAGGTCTGCACTTAACTGTAGTTTATTATATTCTAGAAGTGATTCAGTAGGGTTGAAAAGATACGATATAATTCAAGTACTTCCCTTCCAGCACACAGTCACTGCTACAAACAGATATTTTTTGCAGAGATAGAAAAATAAAAGTTTGGAAGAGGCCTTTGGAGGTCAGGTAATCAGACCTCTGCCTCAAAGCTGTGCTAACTTCAAATTTAGACCAGCTTGCTTAGGTTTTTCTCTAGCCAAATTTTGAGGATCTTCAAGGAAGAAGATTTCATAATATATCTGGACTACCCTTTCCAATGCTTATCCACCCTCATTGTGAAGATTTTTATTCTTATGTTTAACAGGAGATTATCTGACTAAAGGTTAATCAAATTAAGCAGAAATACTCAGTGAGGGTCAGAGGAACAATGACAGGGTTGGGATAACCCCTGGATCTTACAGCCCACCAAAGCTGCCTTTAGCTGACTAGGAAGGAGAAAGCCTCTGTCTTCAGACATCCACCAGATTCAGCTACATATAAGTTTCCATTATTTTAACTGGTGACAGTTTCTTCTTTTCCTTTCACTGTGTACCTCTTGTCCTGTCACTTCCCGGGAAAAGGTTTCCTCCTTCCTTACCTTCTTCTCTACAACCTTTCTGTAACGTTGTCTTCTTCCCCTGCTTAAACAAACCCAGTACCCTTAGCTCCTAAGTATTTTAATGATCCTTCTCTTGATTGTCTCTGGTTTGACAATATCTTTGTTGTACTTGGGGAAGGTCCTTTTGCATGCTGAATAGCAGGGAATAGGTATTTCCCTCAATTTACTGAAATACTGCAAACACAGGTCTATGTGTAGTTAGCAAGAGTACACTGCTGGCTTTTGCTCAGCTTCCTGTTCACTCGGTCCTTTCCTGCAGAGCTGTTCCCTGTCCAGTCATTCTCCAGCCTATACTGATGCAGGTGTAGGGTTTTGCATTTATCTTTGCTGAACTTCAAGCTCGATAGAAGACTAAACAGAAATACCAGTATGGAAGGTAAGCTGCAAGTCTCTTAGGACAGCAGCTCTCATTGACAGATGACTGTCCCTAGCTCCCATAACAGAAGAGTGTCCTTGACTACTATTACTTGTGGCTTCTTCTCCTGTGGCACTGGAGCTGATTCATTAAAGTGTGGCTCTCCCAGAAGCATGCCCTGCCAGAACTTGCTTTTCCACTCCTGCTGCCAGAGCTCTACAGTTTTTCCACATCTGCAGGTGGAGAAAGAGTCTTCTGGTGGCCAGAACTTACCATCTTTCAGCTTCCACTATTGAGGAAATCCACCTATCTTGACCGTAGCTTCTGGCAGTCCCTATTCTTGTGGGAAGTGGATCTTGGATTCCTCATCCCCCTCTGCCTCGAGTCTTTGCAAAAAACCTTTTGATCTCCCATTCATTCTCCTTATGCTATGCAGTTTGCTCCCCATATCTCTCACCTGGCAACCCAGTGATTCAACCAGAGCACACACCTACCACTGATGAGGCTGTCATCACCACCAGCTACAGCCTCAGGGAAGAGCTATGAAATCAAATTGCTGCTGAACAGTCAAATAATCACTGCTTAACTAGGCTTTCCTGCCACTGATGTAACCTTCCAACCCTTAAGTAGTTTTTGGGGTTTTTTTCCCAAGTATATTAAGATGCACCACATGTAGGACACCATAGTAGTACAAATGTACCATTAAACTAAGAGTAAAGAGATATTCCTAGCTCTGCCTCTTCATTTCCAAACACGTACACAGGTAGTGAATATTTCCCTTCCACATATTCAGGCTTCTGGGGATTGGATTTTAGAGTATCTCTGTACAGCATCTAGTCCTCTAGCACTTCTGTCTTAGAACTGAACTTCAAGGTGTGACTGCTTTAAGTAAAGAAATTATTGCATGTGTTTCTGAATGCAGCTAATTGCCACCTTTTTAGCACTGATACATGACATCATCATCATTTAAAAATATGGTGGAGGCTAAGTAACAGAATCTGTGGATGATCACCAGCCAGCTTACTTTAACGTTTAGCTGATGAGTCTTTGAGTATGTTTCCCATCAGGGTAAGTCTCTTAACGAAGATCTGCACAATGTCATTATTGGTGAAGGAAAAGGCAGCAGCTGCATTTAATTAAAAATTCATAATAGCTTTGATTGTAAACATTCTCTATTTTATTTGGTTGTTTCTTTTGCCCCCTGGGGCTTGACCAAATCTGAATTTATTTGGAAAGACTGAATGCAAATGGTCCAGCTATTTTTGCACATTATGAGGATTAAAAATATATCATTTTTGTTGTAAAAATATTATTCTATTATAAAAATATTTTCTTGAACAGCTATATAGCTGGAAAGGCTGTTAATAAAAAGTTGAGATTTCACTTGGCATCCAAACAGTCTATGTTGAGGAGACACGGCTGTCTATGTTCCACTATTCAGTTCCTGAATTAGGACTGAAAAATTGAGGTCTGCATGTAAACACCCATTCCTCACAAATAAGTTCTTCTACATTTATAAAATTTTACATAAAGAGTGGTTGTGTTTTATATCCAGGTATAAATTAGCTTGAAAAGTGGAAGTTATACAGAGAGTAGGCTGGGCTGAATAAATGCTAGTTGCTTGGGATATAGAGACCCTGAGAAACAGGAATGTTTGGTGGATATAAACTACATGATATTCCACCCTTATGGTCCCCAAAAGCTAGAAAAATCTTGGAGAATAAGCTTCTGTTGCTAATTTATTTCTGTAAACAGATTGTAAAACTCAATATGCAGTTCAATAAAGTACTCAACAGTCAGAAATTGTCCTTGTTAACAATGTACTTTTTCTATCACTAGGTGAAATATCATTATCTTTGGAAACACCCACCCTCCTCAAGAAAATGAGGATGCTTCTCCAGAAACAAGGCCATTTGATATTCAGCATGATCTTTAATGTTCTTCTATGTAAAATGTACTTAATCCACCATAAAAAGACAGAAAGAAATATAAAGAAAAAAAAATTTTATGCCTTATGTTATCAGTTTATATATTTCATCCAGTTTATATCTCTTCTTCACCATCTTCTGAGTCCCTCCTTCTTGCTCTTTGCTCAAAAAAATTGCAGCCTGTAAGATGTCTCTCTTGAACAGAATGGGCAATAAAGGTGTAATAAATTTACATTAACAAAACCCAGCAAATCTGAGGACACAAGTCAAGGTCCAGAATGTGGAGAAGAGTGTTTACGTACCCTTGCACAGTGTGGATGTAACACTCAGAAACACTTAAAAGAAATCATTTCTCATTCAAAATTCATTATATTGTAACTACAGATTTAGTAACACACTGGCAGTTTCTATCGATTAACCCAGGGATATTGTGGAAATTTGAAACATAGTGAAAGTGCCTTTAAAAGGAGATACTGATTTTATTTGGGAAGAGTAGTACACAAGCCTGCTAAAAAAAGGTGAGCAGTGTAATTCTTTTAGAGAAGTAAGAGCTGACAAGCTGTAAGTCATTGTATTGTATGTGCTCTTCTATGAAAGTTGTTTGTATTTCAAAACCAACCATTTAACTCCCTTATAGCAAGTTAGGATGATAAAGATTGTCATTTGTATTGATGGAGGTGAAAAAGGGAGAGAAGAGAGATACATGCTTTTGACTGAACAACTAGAACTTGGGGAGAACCCCATAAATTCAGGAGTAAGACAACTAGTGATTATAGCATATTGTCAAGTGTGTGCTACTTAAGACTCATCTTGAACTTGCCTGATACTTAGTAGTTGCTGTCTTTAAAATATATGGATTTAAGCAAATATGTAGTGACTTACTGCATATCCAGGCACATGAATGTTGTCAAGCGTTACTGCATTTGATATCTTGTAAAATAATCTGATATTTGGAGGCAAATTCTATTATCATTCCACCATAGAAATTCTTTGAAGAAATTTTTTATGATATGAGGGTTGTGACACACTGGAACAGGTTGTCCAGAGAAGTTGTGGATGCCCCATCATTGGAAGTGTTCAAGGCCAGGTTGTATGGGGCTTTGAGCAACCTGATCTAGTGAAAGATGTCCCTGCTCATGGCAGGGGGTTGGCCTAGATGATCTTTGAAGGTCCCTTCCAATCCAAACCATTCTATGGTTTTATGATTCTTTTCTGTAACTTGCTTTTTAAATTATTTTTTTATCTCATTATCTGGTCTGACACAGTAATAGATTTTCTTGAAATTACTTAAAAACAAGAAACTTGGGAGTCATTTCACAGAATAAGGACTTAAGCCATCATGACTTGATGATTTATCTTCACGTAATTTATTGCAATATCCATCTTTGCTATTGTTATGCAGCTGAAGTTTCCATAAATTATCAGAAATGCTCTTATTTCAGTTATTGAGAATATGCTCATGAAATTCAGAGGGCAAAGATTTATACCGACGTTGAACATATTTGAATGAATCACTGTCTTTAGCAATGGTGTCACTGGTAAAATCACTATATGAGTAAAGTCTTTCCTATATATTTTTCATATATGCATATATATATGTATGTATACCCACAAAGAAGCAAACAAAAACTTCAAATCAAGAACAATATCTATAGAAAAATAACCTTATATCATAAAGGAATGTCAGTTATTTGCATTTACAGTGTTTAAAAAATTTAACAGGAATTTTCTTTTTAAAATCAGCATGTCCTTGAAAGTTAAAGACAAGGACTCAAATTTTTGGCCTGTCTGCTGTTCTTTAACTAGCTTCCTCTCTCCACCTACCATCTTCTTAACGTGATTTGGTAATTTCATGCCTCTGGAATGTCAGCAAGAGTAATAAAATAGCAATTTAAGAACATGTTAAAAGCCGATCTAAATGGCACTGTTCTTCTGAAGCTATTAAAAACAGAACTCACAGCAAGTCCTCATATTGTTAGACAGCTCTGAAACTTCCATGCTTAAAAAGAATGTTGTTTTGGCTCAGGGGATATTCTATAAGATGAGGGCCAATTCAGAGCTCACAGACTAATATCTTCTCATAGCAGATTACACAGTTTATCTTTTTACACTCTTCTAAAGAATGCCCTCCCCTTTACTACTCCTTCTCTCCACCCTGATTTTTTATACCACACATGTTGACATATTTTATGACTAAAAAGTGAATATTATTACTGAAGAAGGAGAAATCTTACATGGTTTAGAGTCCTGGCGTGACACCCAAAGGTACATGTGCTGATTTCAGTTTTTTGGATCTGCCTAACTGGCTTCCCGGTCTTGGAAGACTGACATTCTTTTTTTTTTTAGTATCTGGAAGGGGGAGTGAAATGATAGAGAGAAAAAAGTGAGAGAAAGAAGGCTATAATTAGGAACTTTCATTACTGAGACTCAGGTGAGGCAAAAAATTAGGCAAGAAATTAAGGTTGTTAATGTGTCTCACTCCTCCCTCCACTTTGGGGCCTTCAGCTGCACGCGCATCTACATTAGCATTACAGTTCTGATCAGGGAATGCATTTCTGAAATGAATCTCCTGATTGACCAAATATATAATAGTTTAATTTGCACTGGGGGATGGTCTCAGACCGCATGGCTGGATGCCTTTCAGAAGAGAGTAAAGAGGAAGACACGATCCAGGCACATCCCTACTGAACTCCGCCATGAGTGAGCAGTCAGTCCATTGCAACAGTCTAGAAATAGATCAAAGCACAGTGTCCATTAATATTAGGCTCTCAACATCAATTGCTTTGCTGTATAGATCCATTCCTATTGGTCTGCATTATATATGTTGCCAGTCTACAAGAACCTTGTTCACACCAAGGTACCCTTCAGGAGTAAACTAACTGGTTCTCCTATCCTTTCCCTATTCCTTCTGCCTGCCCTTCTTTCCCCCCAGAAGAAGGAAGATGAAACGGAAGGTTGGTCTCCTTAAGGACTGAAACCAAATGGCATAGAAAAGACTTAACAACACTTTTGAACTTCAGACATAAGCAAGGAAATTACAGAGAGAAAAGTGGCTTGGGCAAAGGTATTACTACGTTTTGTGTCCTTATAAATTGTCCCTGTACAAAGCACTACTTTTGATGATTAGGTGATCTGTAATCCACTGTGGATATTTGCCTTGAGTCTTTTTCTGGGAGGTCTTCATCTGACCAGCAATTAAAAGTGCCATTAAATCTTGAAAATACATGTTGGGCATGCTACACCTTTATATTGGTATCTGAAAGAAAATAAGTAATACCTATCCCCAAGACATGTATCAAGATGTCATTGGAAGAATGACTGAGAAAAACCTGCTTCCTAGCCAGAATTATCATATGATTTATTCAGAGAGAGTTTTAATATCCAGGGCGGATTTGGTAATACTTCATCTCCTACAAAGAGAAGTGATTGCAATACACACTTGGAGATACCACAATGATGGACTTCATCATTCTGATTTAGAAGGGATAAAGAAGTACTTCTATGTCTTGGAGAGCTTTCCAGTCTCTGTAACTGGATATGGCTAATTCCTGGCAATTTTGCCACCTTACTAATAAGATTACTAAGAAATCTTTCTTTTCTGAATAATTCGGTGAAAAATTATTTCTCTGAATAAAGGAAAAGGCATCCCTGAAAAGAGATACCCTATCATAACTTTATTACAATTCATTTTTTTGTGGTTACATCTGTAAAATCATTGACATTTACACTAGAATGGGCTGAAAGAAACTAGCTCCTGAGAAAGGGTTGTAGCTTTAACTCAGGAAGCCTTTTGCATCACAGCCATATTGTATTCTAGGAGAAGAATGTAACACACTTTATCTTATCACCATCAGGTCACCAATCATGCATGGCACCGGTCTTATATACCCAGTATAGCCTGTGTAGTGTTGTTTGTCCAGAGCTCAGTGTCTATCCTTGTTTCATAAACACATGGCTCTGGATTAGGGCTTGGATCAATGGGGTAGAAGCCAAGGCATGGACATGACATTAATGCAGCTGTAGTGTGGGTCAAGTGGGGGTTGAGAGAGGACCTCAGCTTAAAGGAAGCTCCCAAGCAAAGGAGAAGGGAGCCCCATCTTCCAGCTCTTTCCTCACAACGGCTCTTCCCACCAGCTGTTCTTGTGCAGCCAGCTATACTCCTACAGGAGGGGGAAAGTGTGCCTCATGCCCTGACAATTGTTGCTCCAGCTGTATTGAGATAGATAAGCATTACATCCTCTTCTGGTCCTCTTTCCAGCATGCCAGCAACTGTCAGCAGAAAGGAGAATACATACTTCCTCATCCTTTGACTACCACTAGCTACCTAAGTCCCACATCTGTCCTCTTCAAACGGGTGGTTCAACTCCCTCTTCTCGCAAAAGTGATATCTTGTTCCTTCTCACAAGGAACAGGATATCACTAGTAAAATGATACCTATCAGCATTATGTCACCAAATGTCCCAGAACCATCCCTAGAAGTGAAAAAAATAAGGATTTTCATGACACATTTGCATGACTCATTGCTTCTCTCCCCTGGCACTTGCCTACCTTCCCCAACTGTCTCCCTTTCAGAGATGGTCCTGTGATACAATCTACACTGACTTTCCACTGCAAATTGTGGTCTCAGGTGTCATCTCTCTGTTGGAAGCTAAAAGCATATTGGCAAAAAGCTACAGAAAATGCCATGGACTAGTAGAGATACTATAATCAGAGTGACTATCAACACTGACTCCTCCTATCTGGAACTGAATGAGATTGTCCATATCCTGTCCTGAGCAAATTTAACACTACCTATTTTGGTAGACAGGGAAGTTGTGAAAGGTGTTGATGTAATGTTGTCCCACAGGGAAGCATCCAGCAGTCATGTCCTGTTTCATCTTGTTTCCTTCCTTTCTTTTCCTTCCCTGGAAGATCAACTATGGAATAATACTATTTTGCTCTGTGCCAAATCTCTTCTAAAGAGAGCATAATCTCAAACAAGGAAACTTCCTAGAATGCAGTTGAAATTTTGAATAGATTTTCAAGTGTTTAAAAAGAAGGAGCAATGCAAAAAAAAAAAGGGGGAAACACCAGGACCGGTAGAGCCATTTTGTGCATTGTCTTGCTTATGCATTCTAAACAAGTCTTCCAATGGAAAGGGTATTAAACTCCAAGGACATATTGGGAAGCTGAACAACAATTCCAACAGAGTAATTGTTTCCAAAAAGATCCATTGTGTTGCATTCACAGCATGTGTGACACTTTTGAAACTTCTGCTACAGCAGTTGGTCTAATTAAGCAGCAGCTATGTT